AATCTCCATCAAACTTCAACCAAACAAATATGATGAAAGTTAATGATGATATGATGTTCTAAGGATGAGATAACAACTAGAAACCTCAATTAACCAATAACGAACACAAAGTTTGAATTTCAAGACATAACACCAAACCCTAGATATGGATTAAAGAGGTTAAAAGAAGAATTATACCTTCCGAACAATAGACATGAAGAGAAAAGGGTTGATTCTTCACTTAGAAATCAAAGTTACTTCAATTCCTGCATGAGATATTGATACCTTTAGGGTCGTTCTAGACGGTGGAAACATGGGCGACCGCCTAGGGCCTATCGTTCCAAGGGGACCTCAAAATTTTGGTCTTATGTAGTAGCAGCTAGATAGATGTAATGTGACATCCCAAAATTCACGGTCATTTAAAAAAATTTATTTATGCTTATTTGAAAATCAGAGTGTTCATTTTAGAGATTAATATTGCAGAATTTATTCCCAGAAAACATGATAAATATATTATCAAAGCATTTCCGAAGAGATGTATTTTGTTTATATTAAAACATTGGGATGTCATCGTCAATACAGAAATATAATCATAAACAAACCTTACATTTATTTACACTAGTGATTTACATATCCTTTAATCTCTCAGTGTAATGTAGCTTCATATCGACACATGTGATACAAATAAACTTAGTGGGTCAGGTTGGGAAACCTGATGAGTACATAAGGATTTCAATCCCACAATGTTACGAGCGACATTGTTTTATAAATGTTAAACAATACTTTTACGAGCGACTATTTACGAGCGACATTGTTTTATAAATGTTAAACAATACTTTTCAATTACTATGTACAGATAGGGGCCTGACACGAAACACCATATGGCAGGACCATTTTGGCATTATAGCACTTTTGAAATCCAACAACCTTATGCGACCCTTCAAACCAGATTCCCCGTACCGCGAGTAGTTAAGAGATATTATAATAACACTTTATATTTTATAAAACTTAGCACATATATTGTTTATAGGTTCATAATAACGACTTATGACTATAAATATAAGTTACACTGAAAACAGAATAGTGTAGCTTAATTACCGGGGTTTTAACGAAAACCAGAAAATTACGCAGGTAGAACTCCGACTCTAAAAACTTCTTTCGTCGGCTTTTTGACGACTTAGAGTTTCTCTATCGCACCCTAAAACTAGGAGAAATTGAAAAAGAAAGAAAGAAGGATTCTAGAGAGATTTTAGAGAAATGGTGTAAGAAAATATGAATAATTCATCCTTTATTTATAGAGGTTTGATCATAGAGTAGGCCCTAAGTTTCGTCCGTATCTTCCGCGTACGAGCTCCGTTTTGTACGGTCTTTATATCCACGCATTGGTATTTACGAGTACTATAACTTTCATTTAGACCCGTCGGCTAATTCTCATTCTATCCCAGATTTACAAATCTGTATCGAATTTATCACGCTCGAAGAGTAGGGACTAAGTTTCGTTCATATATTTAACATACGAGCTCTATTATCGATGTTCTTTATATCCACATGTTGGTATTTATGAGTACTACGACTTTCATTTAGACTCCATCTGCTAATTCTCATTCTATCTCAGATTTACAAATCTGCATCGAATTCGCCGCGCTCGAAGAGTAGGGACTAAGTTTCGTCCATATCTTTCGCATACGAGCTCCGTTTTCGACTGTCTTTTTATCGTTGAGCTCCTATTAACGAGATCTTCAATTCTCTTTTAGATTGTTTTGGCTAAAAATCGACCGATCTAAAATTCGATTTCCGGGTTGTACACTTCTATGCTAAATCTTTAGAAATATCATAACTTTCTCATACGGAGTCAGATTTTGACGTTCTTTTTTTGCAGGCTCTCGGCTTAACGTATACTATGACTTTAGTTTAGATATCTAAGGCTAAAATGTATTTTATTGTAAATTCACTTTTTACTATTCCCAGAGTCGTGCCGGTTTTGTCGTAAAACTTCAACATGTCATAACTTCTTTGTTATAAGTCGGATTTCCGCGTTCTTTATACGTATGAAATCCTTGTGACATATACTATAACTTTTGTTAAGATTATTTATCCTAAATAGTCTTTTATCAAAAAGTCATTTTTGACGTTTATTGTCTCTAAATTGACTAGCCCGAATATGCAAGCGTTACATGTAAAACCCGGCTTTGGGATGTTTCATTATTCATGAAGACGAACTTAGTTGATCATGAGAAGTTCTCGGGCTTTAAGGGTTGAAGTTTGGACCTTAAAGGAATGAGGTTTTGGGCTAAGAGAATAAGATTTTAAATATAAGGTTGAGTTTTTGGCTGGAAGACAGTTTGGGCTTAAGTTGATTTGGGCCTTGCTGGATCAGGCCTATCACGGCGTGACACATAGGGTGTCACAACGTATTGTCATTATAGCCCAAACCCAGTTTTTAGGGTTTACTCCGTTTTTGAGGGCATGATCTCTAGAATTAGGTCAATTGTCAGCCTCCATCTTCTCACAACGTTCCTTAACATAACCCTAGCCTCCAAGCTTGAGTTTTGAGTGTTTAAGCCTATTTTGATGAAGCTTGATGGTGAAGGAAGTCTCTCTTGGTGCAAGGAAGATTTGTCCCAGCTTAGATCCATCATCCTCAACATATTCTGCACCTTTATAAGTCCTCATGTTTCAAGATTTATGTATTATTCTTTGTAGATCTAAGTTTTTATGCAAGTTTTGGTCTCTTGGTTCATGTTTAGTTATAGTTTGGAAAACTCTATGTTCAAAGGTTGCATTTGAATATTTGATGATTTATGAACCCATTGTGGTGAAATGGAGTGGTTATTTGGTCCATGCATGTCCTTAGTGGATTTTTGGGTTTCTTTATGACCTTGATTCAAAAATGGTGTTTTTGAGTCATGAAAATGGATAAAGTTGAAAATTTTATCCATTAAGTCACTAAGAAGGTCGTGATTTGAGCTTATGAGGTCTGAACTTAATGATTTAAGGACTTAAAGAAAAGTTGGTTCAGGTGTGAATTCATAGTGTGACTTCTTGGGGTTCACGGCTTGAGTTCTGGGCAAAACAAGACTATTTTGTCATTTATTGGATCACGTCATGAGTAGTCGTTGACCGTTGACTTTTTGACTATTTGACCAATTTGACTTTTGTGTTAAACATGGAGGTTTTAAGCTATAGGCTGAGGTTTAGCTTGTGATTGATTTAGGCGGTTAGTGTAGTCGATATATACCCCTAGGGTTGGGCCTATTATTGTTGAATCATAACATTCACAAAGGATGAGCCCATTCGTGTAATTAGATCACAACATTCACAAGGGTTGGCCCATTGGGTTGAAATATACCCTTAGGGTTGGGCCCATTATTCTGTGTTGTGTGTGGTATTTTAGGGAACTCACTAAGCTTTGTGCTAACAGTTTAAGTTTAAAATTTTCATGTTCTTCTGGGAGCAAAGGGAAGAGCACGACGTGATTGCATCGTGTCTGCTATTATGATTTTGAAATGTTCCGCACTTATGATTTTATTACTCTAATTTATATTCTTAAAACAATTGGAAGTTACTTTTATACTTGAATTGTATGGATTCATTTGATTTAAAAATAAAAATTTGGTTTGAAAATTTGGGACGTTACAATAGAAAACATTTTCCCATTTCCTAAGCCCAAAATTCGCCAGGTATATTATCAACTACATTGTAAATGAAGAAGAAAATCATTGGAAGTCTAAAATAAAAAAAAGTGGGAGCGCTACCAAAATGGGTTAATAAAATAGATTGAAATCGAATTATCTGCTATTATTGAGAAAATAGCCTAAAAAATCTCCAACAACCCTCCAAATAACAATAATAAAGAAAAAAACTGGACACAAGAATACATGTAGAAAACTCTAAAACCGAAGAAAAACACATGCCTCCAACAAGAATGATCCACTATATGATAATTGTTACAATCATATGACCTAATCTCTCCGGCCTCCCCCCAAATTACACTCATACTCTCCAAAGTTGACTAACATTTTTCTAAGCTCTAAGAAAAATAGAAAAAAAAATCAAACACTTCAAGTGTAGTGATTGTGATGCTTTGAAACCAAAGCTTTGAGCTCCTTTTACAAACTTGGAGTCTTCCCAAACATTCATCCTTTTACCAATGTGGGATGGGAAGTTGGGAACAACTATTCATTTAGCAAAAAAAAAAAAACCCAACACGTATGACCTTATAGAAGCAAGCAATGGTGGAAGATCGTTTAATACTAGGTTCTAACAAATATAAAACCAATGTTTTTGTTCTTAAAGATTTCCCTAAAAAATCTATTAGATTTTTTACATCTCCATTTTGATTTAATAGACTATTACGGTTGTGTTTTTGGATAATGTTTAATCATTTTGATTTTAAAGATTTTATGGGTATTTAATTTTAGTTTTTTTCTCATTGTTATTACAATATGCCATTGTTATGGTAGTTGTTTCTTTTCATTCCAATTTTTTGTAGTCGCTTTTAAGCACATAGGAAAGACTGTTTTTGTAATAGGAAATAATTTATGTATTAAGGAACATCCTTTTCTTATATTCATGTATTTCATTGTTAGCACAATATGCCATGAGTTGAAAATGATAAAAAAAATCATGTATTAAGGTGTATCCTTTTTTATTATGGTAACTAATATCATTAATATGTTCGTAGTACTGGTTGACACATAGCATGTGAATATATTCTTTGTAAGACCTGTGATTACGAAAGAGAAACATCTAATATGGTATGGAAACAATTTCTTATTTGGAATCGTGAACTTACACTAAAGTTGCTATTTAACACAAAATTTACTTGATTCCATCCATGGTTTAGCTCATTTGTTTTTCAGTGTTGATCTTGATATATTATTTATAGTTTTGTATCTAAAAATATAGAAGAAGTATATATCACAAATTAGTAGATTTTATTAAGTTTCATCTTGGAATGACATTTCTTATCTTCCGTCTCAGACCCAAAATATGTTTGGAAGACAATCTTTAAAGTGTTTCTCACTCTCTAGACAATATACATGATAACTCCTGAAGTTCCTTATTTTACACTTTTGCCACTAAATGACTAATTTACTTACTAGCATATTACATATTTACAATCTCAGTCCCGCTCACATTTGGACAATCATGTCTTCAAAAGTGTCTGCATGGTCCATCCCACAAACATAAATGTTATCACCAAATTGCGTTTAAAATTCTCATGTCCTTATTTACTGTATGATATATTTGTTGATTACAATAAAAACCACACAATTGTACCTATCACATTCAAAAGCAAAACTGATTCCGGGAAACCCCAATAGACCTGCATCCATTGTATGAAAGGTTTGTCATTGAGAAACTTTGAGAAATTGAAGTTACATTTGTCTAGCAAAACAAAAACTTGCAAATACAATGTCTTAGGTGCCCCTCAACCAAAGAAATGACTCTTACAAAGATAAAACTTTTAAATTTCCTAACTGAACAAAACTAAAACCAATCCAAACCGTTCAAATTATATCCATAAACATTGTAAACATTTAAACAAGATCAAACCCATAGTGAACACAACAAATTTTCACACCATAAAATACAAAATCGAAAACAAGAACAATACAATTTCATCACATAAATCTTGAAAACCGAGGGAAAATCAGGAACATCTAACCTTAATCTCCCTCCTTATTGAGGATTAACCGACCACACACACAGGAAAAAAAAAAAGTCTCTCGCTCAAACAGCTTATGGCATCGACACTACAAATGAATTTGCCCAGATATGACACTATCGAATCCAAACATTTAAATTTTTTTTTTTTTTTTTTTTTGAGTTTTTCTAATGTCTTACTATGAATCTTGAAAACAGAAGTCTTTTTGTCTATTCAACAGTTGCCCAATCCTTTCGGATGTCAAACGAATAGCTGATCTCCAAGTAGCACTTGTTGTCATCGTCCACAAACTACAAAAAACAACAAACAAGAAAGAGTAAATTACAAGAATGGTCCCTGAGGTTTGTAATCTTTTGTAATTTTGGTACCTAAACTATAATTTTTGCAAGTTTGGTCCTTATTCTTTATTTTCCTCTAAGTTTTCGCTTTGTTCAAAGCTATATTACCCTTTTCGATTTTATGTTTTTAAATGATTTGTTATTTAACTAATATTTGTTCAATTATTGAGTAAATTACATCTTTGGTCCTTGAATATATTTGATTTTTTCAATTTTGGTGCCATAATTTTTTTTCGCATTTCTAATCCTTATTTGAGGTTGCTTTTGTAAGGTCCATATTCAAAGTGAAATGAATATTTTTTCAGACCAAAGTTGCAAAAACGAGCTATTAAACGAAAAATAGTCATTTTACTTTTAGGACCAAACTTGAGAAAATCAACTATACTCAGGGACCAAAAATGTAATTTACTCATTATTAAATTACATCGTGCCCATTTGGGTGCATGTACGTATGCATGTGTATATCTATAAATTGAATATACATATGGTTTTTGAATCCGAAAATTTTCTAATTTCAAAAGTCAAAATGCATAAAAGAACCAAAGCTCAAAATCCAATTCACCTTAGATTTAGCAGAATATGATCCTCTAGCAAAATACCCAGAAGGAGTAGTCTCTTCAGGCATCTCATAAGTGTAGGCTTCATTTTGAGGACTAAACGTTCCAAGCATTTGTCTTGTGCTATCCACTGCAAACATAACGAGCTTCATGGGTTAATCACTTAATTTTACAAAACGACTTAACGAGTTAAGACAACTCCTTTCACATTAAAATTGATGAGAATAAAAAGTTAGGGTTACCTTTGACACCGGTTTTCCAAACAAAGTTGGTGTATTTGAGGCCTAAAACAATGTTATGGCTGACTTGAAAGGAGAACCTGAGGCTATAACGACAGCCTTCTTTAAGAGTAAACCATCGGCCTTCTGGTTTCCCATTTTCAGGTATCGGAAGAACAATGTCTGATCTCCCTGGTGACACGATCGAAAGGCTAAGAATCTTCACTTCTGGTTCTAGTGATTCTGAAAAAAATAGTTATATTGTAATTACCAGAATGCCCCTATGTAATTGATACGATTGATTTTGATTGCATTCGTTGATCACTATCATTAATGATTAGACCAACAATTTCTCTTCTTATGGTATACGAAAGCGATGATAGAAAATTACCATTATACCCTTATTGTAAAGTCACAAACAAATAAATTCCCTTTACACATTTAGATACGAAAAATGGGAGCAACACGGTCTCTTTTAAGATGTCCGAAAAGAACAACATTTCCTTTTCTAGGAATTTGTTATATGAAATTACCATTTCACCCCTAAGCATCGATATCATTGATTTTTGACTAACAAACAAAGGTACTTGAAAATCATGATGTGATCGGATATTACCATTTTACCCTTATGTGATCAATAACATTAATTTTGGCAGCATTGGTTGACTACTTGAATTAAACTATTATTCATTTTGGGCACATTCGAGTACATGTAATTGTAATCATGACATTGTAACATAATGCAAACAATGATTTCAAATTCTTGCAAGATTATTAAATGAAAAATACCTCCAACATCATTAATATCAACATTTCCAAGAAGTTGTTCCTTCCATTTCCTCAAGCTCTCATCATCCTAAAAATCGCAAACAATCACAAATATATGTAACATAAATTATGAAAAAAGAAAATTGGGTGAATTAGAAGAACTCGTACCTTATCTTTTTCAAATTGTTCTTTGAGAGTGCATTGAGGACCCACTTGAATTTTATTACCTTCTGCGTCTTCACCTTCATCCTCTGTTTCACACAAAGAGGGCTCACTTTCGACCCTCTTCATATTACCATGACTTTCTTTCTCATCACCACTCTCTTCATGTCCACTCTTCTCTCCTTCCTTCTTTTCTTCAAACCCCATTTTTGTGGAACTACAATCAGCTCCAAACGTCAAACACACGAATCGACTCTTGCCCACATCAAAGATTTACCTTTTCTTTTTCGCAAAAGGTCAAATCGTCAAGAACACCACCTCGTAATTCGCAATATTAAGGCCAAGAAAGCCCCAGGAAAAAACAAAAACAGAAGGGGATGAGTTGTAGGGGGGATCTTGAAAGGTGGGTTTTGTCTAGTATTCCAAGAAAATCCAAGAAATGTGAAATGTGGGAGGAAAAGAACAAGAAAGAAGTTTTATTGGATTGAGGGCTTCGTAATTGAAGTGTTTTTTGTTGAAAGTTTAGAGGAAAAAAAACAGGATTTCAAGTGGATGAGAATGGAGGAGATAAATGGGGTTGAAATGGGAGAAGGGAATAAAAGGGATTTGTGGTGATCCGAGAAAGGACGAGAGAGAGGTTATTACACCCGTTGAACTCATGTATAGATAACCCGAGTAACCATAAAATTATTCATGATATTACATTATATTATCTTTTATTTTATATTCTTTTTGTTCCCCACGTTTGAAGCATCACCTTAATTCCTCCCCATGTCACATTCCCACGATCATCTAGCTATTAAAGTGATTTTACTTCCTAAATTTCATTAAAATTTGTGTAGGTGAATTTTAAGACCCGTTGATTGAGGTACCAAAAGCCAAAAGGGGCTTTGGTGAGTTGATTTTCTACCAACCTCACTCCTTACCAAGTTTCAAGTATGAATCCCTCTCTCTCTTCTCTCTTGAGGTTTGGATATTTTTGTCGGAATTTGATTAATTGTTTTGGTTGGTATTGTCATTTTAATTATTATAGACTGTTTTTGGCGTAGTAACTGAAAATGCTAGTTGTTACCTTATAAACAATCTGATAAAAACTGACGTTTGATAAAAACTAGCGGGTAAGCTAACTTGAAGATATATAAAATAATATAAAATGACATTTAGAAGGATATGTTTTTATAATTATTTAAGAGTATATTTAAGAAAAATAAAAATAAAAACTCATGAAAAGCTAGTAAAATGTTGTGTTTGTTATCAATAGCAATAACGGCAATTTATCTATACACTACGTAGCAATAACAATAAAATAGCGACGACTATTTAAATATTTAATATTTAACGATTGCCTATATTTAGCAATTATAACTAATAAATAAACTAAAACTAATACTTTTACCTCAAATAAGTTTGAAAACATGAATATCACAAAAGTGTTATTTTCAATCTTTAAAGCATTAAAATTATAATAAATGACTCAATAAATTAACTTTATTCTTTCACGAAAATATATCGCTCATCATAATGTTCATCGTAATAAATACATAACTGATTAACTCATTAACAATGACTCAATAAACCTTAAAATTATAATTGACTCAATAAGCATTAAAATTATGACTAAGATTTGAGAAGAACAAAAATCGTAAGTATGCCAACAAAGAAAGAAACAAAACATAGTGTAAAAAAGAGTAAAAAAACCTTTGAAGCTGAAATGGAGAGAAGTTGCAACGAAGGCGTAGTCAGAGTCAAGAATATGAAGCGATGATATCTGATGCTTTCTTTGACTTAGTCAACCAAAAACCCTAAAACGTTGTTATTCATACCATATTAACAAAAACACTTTATCCATTTACATCGTTATGTCGTTATTACATCGCTATAAACCACATAGCGACAATGCATCATATCGTCTCGTTATTCGCTATAGCGATCATTATTGACACTGGCTGCAACTAGCTAATAAGCTAGGTTATTTTTCGAGCTTTTTAAAATTCCTATGTTTTTCAAGCCAAAAAATAGCTTATAAGCTAGCTTTTAAAAATCTGGGGGTGTTTGGGATAGCTTTTAAAACAACTTTTCTCTTTTAACTTTTTCAAAAAGTTAAAAAATGGCTAAAAGATATTTGGGTAATGCAAAAGATCTTTTAAAATAACTTTTTGTGTAGGAGGAAAAGTTAGTGTTTCAAAAGTCACAAAATCCTATCTTTTTGTGACTTTTGGGACTTTTTAACATGAAAATATGATTTTTATCCTAAAAGCAAATACAAACATATTTTAAAGACTATCTTTTGGAAAAAATCACTAGCCAAAAAGTCCTTTTACAAAAAGGACTTTTAACATCAAAAAGTAATCCCAAACACCCCCCTTAGACTAGTTTTTTAGGACTTTTTTTAAAACATATTCCAAATATACCCTTAATTAGTTATAAGAAACTCATTATCCCAAATGTCATTTTATTTCTTCTAACTAAGTAATCAACTAGTTTCTACCAAACATCATATTTTAACAGCTAGCAACTACTTTGTCAACTATCATCTAGCTTTTTATCTAATTTGCTAAACATAGTCTAGATAGTTTTTAAAAAAACTAACTTATAAGTTAGTTTTTGTTTTGTCAAACATGACTATATAAAAAATCTTAAAAAATAAATAGGTTTATCAGCTAGAAATAGCATGCCAAACAAAACCTAATATTTCATTAGTTTTGATTTAATTGTAGGTTAAAGATGATGTGAACATTATGCTTGTAAAGATAAAGGATGGGAGACGTGCATAACCTTATCATACACATTTTTTCCTCTTGTAAAGTAATAATTTAATATCTAAAGAAGGTTCATGTAATTTTTTTCAAGCTCTCAACAAATAAGATACTGCTGCTATTTATTTCTCCATAGAAATATTTTTTATGATATCCTGTTTTTATGTTTTTAACTTTCCATCAAGGTTTGTATATGATTTTTATAGGGTATGGAAGGACTATTCAATCAAAACTGAGGTCCTAATTATGTCCCGAAAAGAAGGAAGTCTGCCACTAATTTAACCCGAGAACGTATGTAAAGGCATTAACAAATATGAATACATTAAAATGAATCTCATTTATCTTTAAAAATATTAAAGGAAAAAAAACTTTGTAAACATTGACACACATATTTTTCTTTTTGATACTTAAAAGCATGTTAGACTTTACCAAGTGTCTATTAATATATGGGTTTGCTAGTAGTATAGTTGAGTATTTGAACCTCTGGATCGGACCTAACCGTGAACCAGGCTTGTACCAGCTTTTTAGTGTAGCACCTGGTTCTTGGTATGTATTTTTATTTAAGTATTTTTGCATTTTTGGCCTTGGACTCGGCGAGTTGAAGGACCAACTCGCCGAGTAAAAGCGGGATGAGGCGCGGGATTTAAGTGATGGACTCGTCGAGTCGGGTCCCGGACTCGACGAGTAGACTCTGACTGGACAAAAACCCTAATCTGAGGGTTTGCACCCTATTTAAACAATGTTATGTCGGCCACAACGTCCCTTATGCTCCCAGAACACCTCTCATTGAAACCCTAGCCGTTATTGAAGCAATCTAAGCCTTGTTGGTGGATTTTGGTGCTTGTGGTCTTAAGAAGGAAGGAGAAAGGCTTGAGGAAGCAAGTAAAGACCAAGGGAACCCGAGTTTGTGCACCTTCTACAGTTCATTGAAGGTAAAAAGCTGTAACCTTGCTCTTTCATTTGTTAGATCCCTTTTTGGGGAGATTTAGGGCTTTTATAAGCCACTTTTGATGGCCAACCATGATTGCAAACATGGTTGGGGGTTAGAGCTTCGGAATCACGTCATTAAAGGAGTCACAAGGCAGTTGGGGACTGCTTTTGCACCCATGAAAGGCCCCATGCATCTTAAGAGCTTGTTTTATGTCTTTTTGAGCTCAAAGTCCCATGCAAGCACGTAAAGTTTGTAACTTTACGTGCTAGATTGATTATAGAAGCTTGGATCTATCTTTTGATCAAAGGTTGTACATCAGAATTCAAGGATTTAGAGTGTGGACATGACTGACTCGGCGAGTCCGTTCTTGTACTCGACGAGTCCGAGGCTTTGAGCCTCATATCTGTTGAGAGTCAAAGGAACCCAGTTGAGTGTTAGAAGGGTTGTAATCGGACAGGAAGAGTTACCCAATGTATTGGACGTGATTTTAGACCTGGAGTTCATGGGACTCGACGAGTGCTAGAACAGACTCGGCGAGTCCAAGGCAATCTTCTTAAGGATGAAGATGAACTCGACGAGTTGTTCATCAACTCGGCGAGTCGATGACAGAACTTGTTCATCAGATGAAGGTGAACTCGACGAGTTGTTCATCAACTCGGCGAGTCGGATGAGTTTCATGCGATGTTCATGTGAGGGATGAACTCGTCGAGTTGACGGCCCAACTCGACGAGTCGGGTCGTGGATAAGGACGAGTAAAGGGTGAGGGACTCGGCGAGTTGACGGCCCAACTCGGCGAGTCGGGTCAACTTGAAGTTGACTTTGACTAGACTTGGATTGACCCTGTTTAGGGTTGTATTGGCTGTGTGTTGACTTGAAGGTCGTCGTGTAGGGATCGAGGAGTCGAGGGGAGTCGACTTGTGCGCTGAGGATAATTCAAACACTGCACGACATCGAGGTGAGTTACCTTCCAGTAGGGGTGGGTCTAAGGCCACAATGCCAGCCCACCAAAGAGGAGTATTTGTAAGATGATTGTCCTTGTGATAATTATCTTGGTTTGGTTATGTGCTTTGGTCACGAGTATTATCTGCATGATATGTTACGTGTATAGTAGGGATTAGGATCCCTGACAGCGGCCCTTAGGGCCGTGGGGTAGGTCAGTACCCGGATATGCCTGACTGTATGATTGTACCTTGCTGTTGTATGCTAGTGGTAAGGGGTGGAATAGTCCCCAGTTACCGGTTGAAAGATACCGATGATGGTTACCGGTTGAAAGATACCGATGATGGTTACCGGTTGAAAGATACCGATGACGATTACCGGTTGAAAGATACCGATGTTAGTTACCGGTTGAAAGATACCGATGAGGATTACCGATTAAGAGATACTGATGATATTGTATGGTATGTGGTATGATGGGGGAACTCACTAAGCTTTGTGCTTACGGTTTCGGTTTTGGTTTCAGGTACCTCTTCGTCTAAGGGGAAGGAGCCGGCGGCGTAGCATCGCATCACACACACACACATATGGTTTCCGCATGGAGTTTTCTGGGATTGTACTCTGATATGTTATTATTCTATGGCTTGGGTTTTCAGACATGATACATTGTTTTATGAGATGATGTGTTTTCGCAGTATTTTCTTATGAATGTTTTTATGTGTTGGTTAATTAAAAAGAAATTTTTGGACCTGAAAATTGGGATGTTACAAGTTGGTATCAGAGCCCTGGTTTTAGGGATTCGGACACACCCTCGGGGGTGTCTAGACTCAAACTGAGGGGATAAAAGGTTTTTACAAGGAAAAATGGTTTTCTAAAATCTAAATGGAAGGATTTTAAGAAAGATGGAGTGTGTGATGCATGCGACCGGCCGGGCTCAAGTAAGTTTTCCCCAAGATACCCATACTTGATATATTATGCTATATGGTTTTGATTCAGAAAACTGCATGCTAGAATAGGACTAAGGATCTAGGAG